CTAAGTCCATACTGAGCTGCGTTCGTAAATTGTTACAGAATGTACTTTGTAACAATTTTAGCATCCGTAGTTGTTTGACATACTACGTAACGTACCTCTACTACGAAAAACGTGTGTGTGGATGATCCGAGGTTAATAACTTGTAATATAAGGTAAACGCGACCCGGAAGCTTTGAAAATGTGCTAGCCGGATACATAATACCTCAAAAAAATACTTTTGCTGCGAACATGTTTGAAAAGAATGAACTTTTACATTCTTTCGATAGTAATGAAATTAAATGGGTATTTAGCCACTCGCATGATGAAATTGTGGATGTTATCTTAGGTTGACTACGCAATAGTGTTTTGGATTATTTTACTATTATTCGTTGCTTTAAATGTTCTCGTTATGGGCATTTGCAAAAAACTGTACTGCTACTCAAGCCACTTGTGGAAATAATAAGTTATGTTGTGTTAAGTGTAAGGAACATAATTTGAAATATAAATCGAATTATTCCTTCGAGCGAACATCATGTGTATAGCAATGATTCTCAAAATGTTTGGAGTTCATCTAAATTGCATGTCTTGGTCAACATGAATTTTTATGATTGCTTATTTACAATATTTAGTTTTACGTGTTGGATGTGATTATACTGTTTTGTTCTTTGTTACTTGTAGTGTTTTGAAGATTAATGTGCAATACTTAAAAACGTACAAAAATGAGTACTTAATGGTCATTTAAATGTAGGGTCGCTATTTACAGCTTTTGATAACTTATTCTTATTCATGCTTGTAATTTTACTTTATGGCCGAGTTGAAAAATACCTTAAGGTAGAGCTAGTACGCTTTCTCGTGAGCCGCGCATTGCGCAAGACAGGACCTGTGTGGACATACTCTCGTTCAGATGCAGTGCTAAAAACATTGGGGAGCACCAGCAGCGGCTGTACAACGTGTATGTTTGTACAGTGGCGTAGTTATAGGGTTTATTCAATGGTATGGAGTTGAACGCGTGCATCCAACATATTCCATGTTTGTGTATAATTTCATGATTACTGAAATTTACTAATTCTATAAGCATTGTAATAAATATCATCTATAAAAGAGAGTTAAAAAACAAACATAACTGCTCTGGTCATTTTGTGATTACATGAAATGTAAGAATTTCTTTGTCAGTTTTTTTTGACATCCTCAAAAGTTGACAAAGTGAGATAACCATTATGACAAATTACTGATGAAAGCCGGCTAATACACAATTTGTTCGGAAATATATTTCTACGTAATAAACAAAATAAGATACTTGAACATCCGTTTCAGTTAGACTGAGATAGAAGTCCAAGTGCCAATAAATTCCTAGACGTTATCCATTATACAGGGTGGCGCATCGAAAACGAAACAGACGCATTTACTGGCAGCTCAGTTTTCTTTTGGAAAAACGCTCAGACCCGTCGATTTTGTTTTCGAGGGGGGCAGAAGTTTGGTAAAAAATCACTTTAACACGTGCAGCCCCCTGGGCGGGGGTGACACGAACCCTAAAATCTTAACTGGAAAGGGGGGTCGAGTGATACCTTATTTTAAAGGTCTTTCAATTCCCTTTGTAATGATGTAAAATACATGAGCTTCAGTTCAGTAGTTTTGAAGATTTATTGATTTGAAGCTCAAAGTAGACTTTAATAGGTACATCAGATTAGTTTGTACTACTTTCAGAAGAAATTTGACTAAAAGAATTTACTTAATAAGTAGATGCTTTTCTTCACTACGCCCATGGTTTGTTTATCATTTTGTTGTTGAAAATAGCTATTGGAGCGTTTTTTTATGGCAAAAAAGTTATTCCTTGAAGAAAGATAAGGAAACATCTCGTACTTATTTTAAATAGGAATTTAGTATATAGTTTGCGATTGATTTTTCCAAACTTTGTTGCTAAAATAACTTGAAACGCTTTATTACATAAATTAACCATGGTATATTCCACAGCAGAAAGAGTTGAAATTATCGAAATATTTTTCGGAAATAATCAGTGCGCTAATAGAACAGCAGAAATATTTAATGAGCGACATGAGAACAGTAACGTGCATCGAAAATATGTTCTATAACTTGTAGCTAAATTTTGGGAACCTGGGTCAGTCGCCAATAAAAAACGCAACATTGAAAATCCCATAAGGAACGATGCAATAGAAGTGGGGGTTTTAGGGCAAGTTTATGTAGATCCTACGTTAAGTACCCGCAAATTGGAGACTGTGAGTGGTGTTAGTCGACATACTGTCTAACGGATTCTAAAGGCCCATAGTTTTCATCCGTGTAAAATTCACCTGGTACAAGAACTTAATGAAGACGATTATGATCGGAGATTACAATTTTGTGAAGATATGAGTGAACGAATTATAACCGATGAAGATTTTCTATTCAACACTTGCTTTTCCGACGAATGTTCCTTTTTCTTAAATGGCGTAGTAAATCGTCATAACTGCCGATATTGGTCTGATTCTAATCCCGGAATTTATCATGAGGTTCATACACAGCAGCCACAAAAATTAAATGTTTGGGCTGGTATTCTTGGCGATCATTTAGTTGGTCCTTTTTTCTTACCTGGAAATTTGACCGGTGAAATGTATTTGGAATTACTGGAAGATGCCATAGATCCTGCATTAACAGCCATAATTGAAAATCAGAATGATCGGCGGTACATTGTGAATAGGTTGATGTTCCCACCATATTACGCATTACGTGTTCGACAATATTTAGATCAGACGTTTCCAGATCGATGGATTGGTAGAAGAGGTGCCATTGAATGGCCCCCAAGATCGCCAGATTTAGCATCTTTGGATTTCTTTATGTGGGATCATTTGAAAAGCAAAATCTATGCTACTCAGCCAACATCATTAGAAGACCTGCGACAAAGAATTGTGAATGGGTTCCTTCAAATTACTCCTCAAATATTGCAAAATGTGTGGCCTCGAAAACAAAATAGACGGGTCTGAGCGTTTAAAAAAAAACAGAGCTGGCAGTAAATGCATCTGTTTCGTTTTCGATGCGCCATCCTGTATATTCCCGACTTAGGTATTCTTCCTCCGCTCTTGATGCATGGCCGCAAAAGTTTCTCCATGTTTCTGGAGTGACGCGATCTAATGCTTGTTTCCATGTGCAATGATTAAACATTTGCCTTTTACAAGCGGTGCTAAACTGGACTAATGAAAGTTCTGTACCAACACTAATTCATTCGATACTTAGAACCAAGGGGAGCAGTTGCACCTCAGCCCGATAGGAAGTTACAAGGTTGAATTTTGATGTTGCCAGTTTACCAGCCTTGGCTGTTTGCAGCCCCTTGTGAAATCATACCTCTTAACCAGCGGTGTGGTCCTTTTAGCAACACAAGCTGCAAATTTACCCTAATAGCATAAATACATTTCAAAGACGTTTTCGGAATATTTCAGTAGGTCTCCTGAAGTCGTATGACGTTCCAAGGAGTTCCGGGGAGGTGGCTTCTGAACGTTCCAGGAACTAATGAAATGATCCTATTTGTGCCTTGTGCCATTGAGAAGGGGGAAAGAAGAGGAATAACAGCGTAAAAATTAAATAATAAGTATTTTGAAGTTACATTTCCGGACGATTTTATTTTAAAGCAATAATAACCAAACCAATCAATTATGACACATATCATTCAACAGAAAGCATTGCAGTAACTAAAATCATCTGAACTTGATTCATGCAATGTTTGATACTGGCTGCTACTCACGTTTATAACGCGAGCTTAGCTTGTTTAATAATAATAAATAACAAAATCTTCATTTTCGTCAACATTATAACACTAATAAGCGCATCTGATAAGGTCAAGTTTATGCTTTAAAAATACACAGGAGTGAAATGAACCGTTAAGCAAAATTATGAATACCCTGGATTAGAGTGAACTTGCAAAAGTCACAAAATTTCAAATTTGACTGACGTGGTAATGTGTACGAGGCAGAAGCGCAAGAAGTGTCCAATATGTACGTTAGAAAGAGTGCGCCGATGGCGTCCGTGACCTTGTCACTCGGGCTGCTAGGCAACGGGGTGCTTCTATCTCCTTATAACACACGTATTGTACGCTTCTCTCGTGTACACATTACTACGTCTGTGGTATTTGCTTTTCAGTTTATTCTTCTCCTATTAGTGAGTGAAGTAAAATTGTGAAAATTATAAAACAAAATGCTCCTTTTAACATTAATGAAGTTTTACTATATATGCGTTTTCCGCAGACTAGCCGATAAACCAGTGTCTAACGTCATAGTCAGTGAAACGTGTTTGTACTAGTGATGTCAATCCCGAATGGTTTTCGTAATCCCGGGATATACACTCGAACTGTGATAGTCGAAGGTGATACTAGTAACGTCGCTCCTTAAATCGTAGGTTTTCCGGTAGTTTATAGTGAAGTAAAAATTGTGAAATCTGCCAGGAGTCTAGTGTTTAGTGCACTCTTCGTCTCGAATGTAAGATATCCACTATTGCATGTCAAATATTTGAGTTATTGCACATTCCCTTATACTGATCAGCAATAAGTGTTATTTTCGTACATCACTGGAAAGCAATAACAAAAACTATTTGCTCGAAAGAAATGGTATGTGTTTTTTAGATCAGTGAAATTAGGTCCATGAATTTGGTGTTATGGTACCTGGTATCGAGATCTGCAAGGTATGTGATGACAACTTTATAGTCAACGCGAAGGCCATCAGCTGCAGTATTTGTGTCGCCAAATACCACACGTCCTGCGTTGTTGTCAAGGATAGTTGGCTGAAAATAATTTCTGAATGCGAAAATGTTCTTTGGCTCTGCGATGATTGTCTTTGCTCCATTAATAAAAACAAGATAACCTCGAAGGCCGAAACTACCTTACTGGAAAAAGAAATGGATTGTCTTTCTAGAGAACTGAATTTAACTAAAAAGCTAGTATCCGAGTTGGAGTACAGTAATGGGCTACAAAAAGAGGTGCTGAAATCCCATGGCAGCAAAATGGGGACATTTGAGTCTGCTGATTTGCCTCGTCCTAGTACTTTCAGTGATGTTGTGAAAAATCCACCCAAGCCTAAACTGGTCTCTTCTGTGCTTTTGGTGAAAGCAGGAGGCGAGCAGGTTGTTGATTCCAAAGATACTCTGCAAGAAGTCACTTCTTCTGTCAAACCTGGTGACCTGAATGTTTGTGTAAATGGTACAAAACTGATCAAAAATGGAGTTGCTGTTCATTGCAAAGACGATGAATCCCTAGCTGCCCTTAAAACTGGTTTGAGCGGTAAATTGGGTTCCAAATATTCCTTTTCTGAAGTCAAAAAGCCCAATCCACGGATGTTAATTAAGATCGTAAACCTGAATGGAATCAACACCCGCGAGGATATCTTTGATAGCATCGTTTCCTTGAATAGTTCTCTAAATATTCCTAAACAAGATATTAAATACGTAACCAAGCCTAAGCATTTCAACAGCGTTAATGTCGTCATTGAGGTGACACCAGCCCTTCGTAAATCGTTTCTTCAAGAGGGGTACTTGTTCATTGGGTGGAATAAGTCAGAAGTCTGTGATCACCTCAGACTAAAAATATAAATAGACAAATAATTCCCTACAAAATATCGTCGTCAACATAACTGTATTTACGGTAAACAAATATATGCGACGCTGTCACTTCTCCATACTGAAAAATCTATTGAAAATGGAATGAGATATTGGTGTGCACTCCGCCCGAAATGAAGGTGGACTTAAATAAGGTGTGGACGCTCTGGTCGATCGTGGGTCGATCAAACAACTGCTCCTAGGCAGTTGCCAACGTCATTTTAAATTTTAAAAATTTATTTTTTCTTTTCATATTTGTTTATACTCGCAAAAACGGTCACAGAGGTGGCCGACACGCCGTAAATTCAATTCAAAACGGATGCAAGTTCATGTTGGGTAATTCAAAGCGAACATTACATACAATATTTTGCCCAGTCAGTTGTTTGACTGGGTTTGTTCCACCTTGGACGAAACTTGCTCTCATTCGAAAGTAGCACATTTTTACCGACTTTTTGCCGAACGTAGCAACGGTGTTCAACGGCAAGTGGTGGATGCGTACACAGAATTTACAAATATCTGGTGTTTGTTGTTGTGCACAGTGAATTTGTTGCGAGTATTCAAGTGTTTTCAGGTTGTTTTAGCGGCAATTATAGCATTGTTATCATTGATAGACAATTTTCAAATACAATGGGATGTCGGAAGCGCATTCTTTGTGGAGTTAGCAGTGAAAAAACTGAGGCAACCTTCCACAGGTGAGTTAGAGGTTAGAGGAGGACAAGGGCGTAGCGCATGGGGATGCGTTGTAATTTTTAGTATTAAGAAATAGACATTTTATAGTTATTGGTTGTTTTTACACTGTATGTGTGGTGATTTTCAAAAAATACTCTTCTGTTAGACACGTTTTTGATCTTTCAGGTTTCCTAGTGATAAGAAAAAACAAGAAGAGAGGTGCACTATCCTCAATATTGACATAAATGATTTACCACTTCATGCCTTTATTTGCGCAATCATTTTCACAAAAGCGATTTAATAGAAGGCAAAAGAACTCAACTAAAGCATTCAGCAGTTCCATCAGTAGAGCCTTTGAGGCAAACAGAGTAAGTCCTAAATTATATTTAGCTATTGGATGAAATGGAATATTTTGTTGCAATACTTTTACTTATCTATTTTAAAGTGATTCCAGTGATGAGGAGAATGAAATCAATCTTGCCAAGGAAATTGCCCTAAGCCATTCAAATAGTGAACAACTGGAAAGCAGGGATCTACCTAGGTATGAAATTAAATAATCTCCTAAGTATCTAGAAGTTTGACTATTGAAGTGTTTACAGAGAACAAATAAAGTCACCAGAAGTAAGAACAGAAATGGTATGTGAATACAGTTTTCCTGAACAAGATCGAACAACAGATAGTAGCACCCTATCAGCTTCGCTGTCAGGTACCCAGTCATTATCTGAAACCGTTACATTTCACAATCAGGTACTGGAAATATCCCAGTGACACCACAGTCCTGTACCCATGCCTCAGAATTAGATATGATGTACGTACCTAACTACTTTTATTTTCAAGTTCAGCCAGCTAATATCAGTCTTTATTTTGGTGCATTGTATTTTCATTATTTCAGGGTTTTAAACACATTCATAGAAGCAAAAGGTGACAATGAGGAAGATAACCTCAAAGAAAATGATAGTGATGGTGAACCTCCACGGAAAAGGTATTAAGCTTTTATTTTGATTCTTCAAGTATAGTCTGGTGGTAATTAAACCTGAAGTAAAGATTTGATAAAAGGTGACGTTTATGTAGATTTGGCGTTTGCTTTATAGTAGCATTTAAGCTTTGAATGTTTCAGAATGAAAACAAAACCTATTCGATACTTCGGCGATATACGTTATACTGATTTGGAAAACCCACTTAAAAGGCCAATTTGCTGGAAAGTCATTCAAAACACGTATAAGAAACAAAGAAAGACAATTGACTGTTTACGAGCCAAATCAAGAAGACAAGCAAACAAAATTTGGTCTCTTCAAGCATTGACAAACCATTTGAAGCGAATAAATATGATATCGGAGAATGCTCAACATATGCTTGATGTAAGTGATTACATGTTTATTTTTTGATTGTTGTTAAAATCCTCATTTCTCAGGGCTCCATTGCAGAAGACATTTTCAACAAAATTCAAAGAGGCCGAAAAAAAGAAAAATATAGTGCAGAAGTGCGTCGTTTTGCGCTAACTTTACACTTTTATTCAAAAAAGGCGTACAACTATGTACGAACAAAATTGAATAAAATATTACCCCACACCAGTACCATAACTAATGTTGTCTAGGATGGTGAGCCGTTAGTCGATCAATACTACTTGCAGTAATAAATATATATTCCAACAATCTTAAGTAACAAACAAATATAACGTCTTATTGCGCTGCGTTGAATCGGTTGAAAGCATTGGCGTCTTGGCGTCGTGTCATCTTCCCCCAGCCACCGTCGATCTGCCGGTCAGCAGCGACAGACATAGAGTGGGACTGCACGGCCATCCTGACGTCACGTTCGTCCCGAACGTCTGAAAATATTAAGTTATTTAGGAAACACCTATACCTATTGCCATCAACACCATTTGCTATCGAGGACGACCATTCGTCATCGAGAGCAAAACTTGCCATTGAGGGCGTAACAGTTGCCATCGAGAGCTGAACAGATGCCATTGAGGGCGTAACATTTGCCATTGAGAGCAGAACAATGCCATTGAGGGCGTAACATTTGCCATTGAGAGCAGAACAGATGCCATTGAGGGCGTAACATTTGCCATTGAGAGCAGAACAGATGCCATTGAGGGCGTAACATTTGCCATTGAGAGCAGAACAGATGCCATTGAGGGCGTAACATTTGCCATTGAGAGCAGAACAGATGCCATTGAGGGCGTAACATTTGCCATTGAGAGCAGAACAGATGCCATTGAGGGCGTAACATTTGCCATTGAGAGCAGAACAGATGCCATTGAGGGCGTAACATTTGAGTAGTTCATTACTCACCTTATTGATTTTGAACTTTGAAGGGTTTCATGTGTTCCACACCTACCACAGCTTGATATGGTCGTCTTGACCTCTGTGTGAAACGATCTTCTTGCACTCTATACCTGTCATTGGGTAGAACCTCAACTATCTTGAATGGTCCTCTAAACTTAGGACGTAACTTTTTACTGTCTTCATTCGCTGAAAAGCTGGTTACTTTAGTTAATACCACATCTCCCACCTGGTACAACCTAGGTAGAGAACGTTTAGTGTTAAATTTTAAATCTTGTTCGATTCTATTGTATTCCAGACGTTTGGCTGTCTCTTTTTGGATTTTTGTAACATCTAGAGTTGTTTCCATATCGTCATCAGGGTATTTGTCACTATCAGTCCGTAGTTGGAAACCAAACATTACTTCTGCGGGCGTGTTTTGTGTAATACGGTGTCTAGTACTATTCAGTCCTTGTTGTATATGTGAAAGATTAGTATCCCAATTGTCTTCACTTGTTTGCGAACCAGATGTTGCTAAAGCGTCTAGAACTGTTCTGTTCGTCCGCTCACATTGACCATTGCCTCTTGGGAGACCAACAGCTGTTGTAAATAACCGTATCCCTCTTGCAGCAACAAATTCCTCGAAGGCCTTTGAAGTAAACGCAGATCCAAGATCCGTGATGAGTCGTCTTGGGTTACCGAGCATCGCGAACATTTCAGTTAACATTTGAATTACGTATTTTGCAGATGTATCAGGAACTGCTTTTAAATACACAAATTTCGAAAAGCCATCAACAACAACTATTAAATACTTGTTTTCCTGTTTTGTGTTCACAAAAGGTCCTAAATGATCTATATGTAGTGTGTGGTGTGGTCTAGCATACTTTGGGATGGAGTGAAGGTACCCGGGTCTTTTGCCCCCTTTATCTTTATGATATAAACAAGGTAAACATGCATTTATGTATTTTGTTATGAAATGCCTCATTCTGGGAAACCAATACCGTTGCTTAATTTTCTCTAACGTTTTATCAACCGCAAAATGACCTATATCGTCATGGTTTGCTTTGACGATTTGCCATCTACACTTCTTTGGGACTACCCATCTTCTCCCATAAGGTGTTAACTTATAGACTTTGTTCCCCCTTAAATCGTAATTATTAAAAACATCTTTGTGACTCTGAACATCCCCACTTAAAAGAATATTTTTAATTTCCACTATGGATTCATCTTGATCCTGTGCTTCCCTGAGATAGTCATCTTCTTGGATGAGTAGGACTTGTGCTTTGTTTTGAGATTCATTAAAGTTTCGGATAAGTGCGTCTACATGTTGCATCTGAGTACCTGCTTTATGGTGAATGGTAAAAGAAAACTCTTGTAAAGACAAGACCCATCTAGCAATTCTTGGAATTATCGACTGCTTAGATAATGCGTTCTTTACCGCATTGCAATCAGTAAAAATTTGGAACTGATAGCCTACTAAATAAAATCTGAACCGTTCCAAAGTTTTGACTATTGCTAATAGTTCCAACTCAAAAGAATGATAATTTTTCTCAGCGGTATTAGTTTGCCTACTGAAATACGCTATTGGTCTCTCTTTACCATCTGTACTTTGCATCAAAATTCCTGCAAAACCATCACGACTAGCATCCGTATATACGGTTGTCAGTGCTTTTGGATTAAATATTGCCAAAATAGGTTCTGCACAAATTTTGGCTTTTAAATCTTTGACTATTTGTGTGTGAACTTCTGTCCAAGACCACCGACTTCCTTTCTTTAATAGCTTCGTCAATGGGGCGGTAATTCGCGCAAAATCTTTTAAGAACTTCCGAAAATAGCCGACGAGACCCAAGAACTGTCTCAGTTGATGTTGTGTCTTAGGACAAGGAAATTGTTCCACCGCTTCAATTTTCAGGTTGGATGGTGATATTTGATTGTATGAGATTTGATATCCTAGATAAACTATCTTCTCTGTAAGAAAAGAATACTTTTCGATTTTTATTACAATACCATACTCCTGTACAATTTTCAGTACCTTAGGCAATAAATCTAACCCCTCCTCTATAGTCTTTGACGGTATTAAGATGTCGTCCAAATAAGGAACCACATTAAATTTTCTTAAAGGCATAAGGATTTCATTCATAAATTTCTGAAATACCAATGGGGCATTACAAAGCCCAAACGGCATACGAACGTACTCAAAATGCCCTTCAGGTGTTATGAACGCTGTATACTTCATTGAAGCAGGCTCCATCGGTATTTGATGGTAACCTGATGCTAGGTCAAGCGAGGTAAAATACTTGTAATCACTCAAATTATCAATAATTTCTTCGATTAATGGCATTGGAAAATTATTTTTAACAGTTATTTTGTTTAGCGCCCTGTAATCGACAACTAGTCGTTTGTCATTAGTTCCTTTATTGACCAGAAGAGCAGGACTGGCATATGGTGAATTACTTTCACGTATGATTTTAGCCTCCAAAAGTTCCTGTACCTTACCTCTCATGATTTGTTTTTCTATCTCTGCTAATCGATAGGTCTTATGAGTGACTGGTTTGTCATTGACCAACTCTATTTTTAATGAAACAGAGTGTGCCTTCCCCAAATTATTCAAATTCAAAAATATACAATCTTGATATTGAATTAGAATATCCTGCAGAGTCTTATTATCTTGTTCTGACAACACCCCTGTTTTGACATTTTGCAACCACTGTGGCTTTTTGTCCTTTATTTTGAATATCAACTTGTCATCTATACGATAATACATAATAGTATTATTTTCTGTGAAATTTCTCCCAACAAGAACATCATTGTCTACACTTTCATTAGAAACCACATAAAATTTTGTATTAAGTTTCACCTGATCAATTTGGGTCATTACCTCAACAAATTGCGTAACAACAGTCCCTATACCCATAAATCCTGACAATGTTACCTTCTCCCCAAGAGGTTTCAACGTTAACCCTAGCTCCTGCACTATTGCCAATTTTATTAGAGAACAATCACTACCAAAATCCACAAAAGCTTCTATTAAATTCCCATCAAGAAATATTTTTTTGAAAAATTTTGAAGCACTATTCTGACTTTTAATTAATTTGACCTGTTCAATTTTTTGTTTTACTTTTGAAGACTTAGTTGAATTATCCCATCTGCCTGGTTCACTTGAGTTCTTTCGTTTCTTGAAACAATTCACCTCAATATGCCCCTTAATTCTGCAAAAATTGCATATCTTATTTCTATGTTTACAATCATTCCGCTCGTGACCTCTGTTGCCACATGTGGTGCAATTTACATTTTGATGTATCGTACTTGACCGGACTATATTGTCAGATGCTCCCAATCGACCACTTTGATTGATTGACTGTTGCACCTCTGATTTTAACGGTTTGCCCCTACCAGTATAAGTTTTGTTCTTCAGATATGCCGCCAAAATATGAGGATTTCGAATATTTGCTGCCTCCACAGCTGATGTTATATTAACGTCATTTATAGCACCTATAATTAATGATACCTTGTCACAATCTGAAAATCCTACTCGTAACTTATTTATTCTCGCTATGTGTTCAAAACAAAAATCATATAACGAACAACCTTCGCTGGGTCTATTATTTACCATTTCCATCAACAGTTGATAAGCATTACGTGTACTCTGGAATGTATTTTTCAATATATCCTCCCACTGGCCCCAAGCATAACTAGACCACCCCAAGTCACCCTGAATGAAACTGTCATACCAGGTTTTGGCTGTACCCTTGAGTTTATTCAAAGCATGACACTTAATAAGGCTATCAGGCCACTTGTAAATATCTGCATTATATTTGATAACCTCTAACCACTCTGATATGTCATTAATTTTCGGATCAAATTCTGGAATTACCATCGAAATATGTATTCCCTGATCGGCCCTCGTAAAAGTAGAATAATGTTCGCTACTCACGGTTTCCCTTGACTTACACCTGGATCTCTTATGTTTATGCCCATTACTATTGCTAGAACTGCCGGAAGAACTACTGGTTGTTGAAGACGAGGAAGGTTCTCTTCTACTTCGTTTTCTGGATTTCCTTTGCTTTTGCTTTGGCATCTTGTCCAATCTCTGAGCAAACAACAGCCTGCAGAATATTTGCTAAAATTGGGAACCACCGTAAAACACACACTTCTGATGTTGTCTAGGATGGTGAGCCGTTAGTCGATCAATACTACTTGCAGTAATAAATATATATTCCAACAATCTTAAGTAACAAACAAATATAACGTCTTATTGCGCTGCGTTGAATCGGTTGAAAGCATTGGCGTCTTGGCGTCGTGTCATCTTCCCCCAGCCACCGTCGATCTGCCGGTCAGCAGCGACAGACATAGAGTGGGACTGCACTAAGTGGTATGCAACAGTTAATGGGTTTCCCGGATTTTTGACAGACGCTTTACAAGCACTGAAAATAAAAGTCACAGAAGCCAGAAACCAAGATAAAGAGATCCTCTGCAATCTAGTTTTTGACGAAATGTGCATAATGAAGAAAGTAGAGTGGGATGGGAAGCGAACGTACGGATACGTGGACCTAGGCATTGGTGATGCAGGTGACACTGGAGACACTGTCGAAGAGGCAAGAGAGGCGCTAGTGCTCATGCTAGTTGCACTGAATTGTTCTTGGAAGATACCAGTTGGCTATTTTCTCATTAATGGACTCACTGGCGCAGAAAAAGCCAATCTTTTAGAGCACTGTTTAGAGTTCGTCCACTCATCAGGTGTCACAGTTACATCAATTACATTTGATGGAGCGCCCTCAAATGTTGCGATGTGCAAAATTTTAACGTGGAAGGCGACTTCAAATCTTACTTTTTGCACCCAATTATATTTTTTGATGCTTGCCATATGGTGAAATTGATAAGAAACTGCTTTGGGACATTCAAAATACTGACTGATGGAAATGAAGAAAAAATCCAATGGACCTTCTTAGAAAAGATAGCTAAGTTGCAAGAAGATACTGGAATGCATGCGGCAACAAAGTTGAGGAAAAAACATCTCCAATGGGTGAATGAAAAGATGAAAGTTAAACTTGCCGTCCAGACTTTGAGCAAGAGTGTTGCAGAAGCATTGGACGTTTTGAACAAAGATCTGGCTATGGCTGACTTCAAGGATTCAGAAGCTATAGCATATTTTTGTAGAACATTAAACAATTTATTTGATGTTTTTAATTCAAGGAATAGGATGTCAAAAAAACCTTATGAGAAACCGTTGTCACCTGCTACTGAACAATATTTCAATTTCTTAGAAGAAGCGAAGGATTATTTGAAATCGTTAAAATTAGGAGACACTAGAGTTATACTTTCTAGAAGAAAATTAGGATTTTTGGGATTCATAATTTCAATAAACAGTTTAAAGGGCCTGCATGAATATAGAGTCAAAGAAACCAAAGAACTGAAGTACCTTCTCACATATAAGTTATCTCAAGATCATTTGGAAATTTTCTTTAGTTGTATAAGAAGCAAAGGAGGATACAGCAATAATCCTACCTCGAAGCAGTTTCAGAATATTTTAAAAAAATTATTACTTCATACTGAAATAAGTGGCAATGAAGCATCCAATGTCGTGGCATTAGATAGCACATCCATTTTGCACTGTTCATAATCATCTTTAGAGATTAAAATTAGTGAGGATATGACCTCATCATCAAACAGTATAGAGGAAGATGAAGATTTTATACAATTTAAAAACTTTCTTCTAATAAGTCCTTGGCAGCATACACTGTATCTGGAAGATGTTGTTGCATATGTTGCAGGTTTTGTTGTGAAGAGGCTAAAAAAGTCTATAAAATGCCAGAGTTGTTTAGATTTGTTAGAAAGTTCAGGAGAGTCTATATCGAAATTACAAATAAGAGAAACGTATGAAAAATTAGTTAAAGCCTCCGCTTTTGTAATAAATGTGTGTAAATATGGAGAACATTGCTTTAGGTCATATAAGGAAAGGTTAGAAGTTGGCAAAAAAAATATGACAAGAGCTTTACAAATATTAACAAATAATACATTGCAAAATTTACCTCTTGGATTTGGAAATGTGTTTAAGGACCATGTATTCGAAGATGAACCTTTAAGTAATCATTTTCCATTGCTCTGTAAACAAGTTTTAGAACAATATTTTACCATTAAGTTGTACCATTATACCTCTAACTTGCATGCCCCTTCAAAACGTGTACGATCATTACTCACAAAAAGTATATTATTTCAAAATTAATAAAACCTGATAATTACAAAAAAATAAAAAGCAAAATTATAAAATGAATTATAAATAATGACTCAGGGAGAGTGACAAGTCCAAAGGAATTGTTTTACTGAAATATGCACTAAACCAAATAAAATAAACCTCCAATCATGGATTGACTACTATAAAATAATGTATAAACCTACCCCCAATGTTGACTTTAGCTTTTTAGATATTTTACATCCATATCTGGATCAGCATATATCAATACAAGAACTTTTTGACGCGCTAAATGGCTAAAATGGCTATCAGAGTCTACAGAGTACGCTAAATCCCAAGTATACCGTTATGTATAAAACGATTTATAATCCAACTTAAGCTCCACAATAAATGTAGTCTCAAAATCTTCCTAAACAATATTTTATACAGGGTTGACCAAACAGACTATTGTACAATATGTAATACTCGAAAGACCGAATCTTTAGGACATCTCCTCCTGGAATGTCCATTATACAATCCATTCAGAGAGCATATTCTGTCAGATCGTTTGAACCAAATCTGCGTCTTTGCTTGCCTAAATAAAAGAATGAGTTGAATTTATGATACAAACTTTTTAAATACTTTAGGGAACTATTTAAGCTAAGATCTTTCTTAAGGAATGAATAGTTTTTTTGTGCCGTCAATATCAAGACAGAATATTTAAATTGATGCGTCAATTATTTATTCTTTTTCTGTGTGTTTATATATTTTTTATATACAACTTTTGATCATGGTTACTATCATTTTCTTACTATTTTTTTTTGTATTCATACTCTGGACAGGAAATTTTCTACTCATTTCTTATTATTTCATAATACTCTCTCTCTCTTGTTTATATACCTTTGTACTAGGTACTAGGACTGCTGGCGAACGTTCTTGTGATATTGTGACAACGGGAAAACGGGGAGGAGGGTTACCGACTATTGAAAATTGAAGAACGGGGAGACAATAATCTTCTGCGTATTTATCTTTCCTCAGTACACAAATTGTATAATAATCGTTCATCAAGCAACACTGTGTCTAAAGTGTGAGGATGGGACGTCGTTGATATGCTCGGATCACACGACACCTTGACATGACATTTGACCATAAGCGTCATTGTGCTTAGAGAACAGAACTGCCTTTGATCCTTGTTTCATGTTTCATTAATCTCTACTGAAAACCAAATTAGTCTGACGGCTTGAGTTCATATGTTCGAGAGAAGTGTCTACAGACACATATGTTAGGAATAGATAGAAGCCGGCTGGATAGCGAGGCTCATCACCGCATTGCCTATCAACGCTGACGCGGAAATCTGCCATTATGTTATACAAGTTCCTTGAATTAAGGTGCATGTTGAAAACATGCGTTAGTTTACTCTCTACGGATCTTGCACATTACAAGGCAAGATTTCCATCTCCATGATCATAGACGAGCGATTTTGTTCCGTACCCATATAGCGCTCATTGAGGAGTGTCGTCCTGCTTCGAGTTTGACAGTAACCTAACCTATTGTAGAAGCCTGTACGAACATTTACTGATTTAACACTTTGGCAACGCGGAAGCTTCCACGAGCTTCTGCGTCGCCGTTGCTAGGTCATCGCTCTCCAGCTGGCTTCTATCTCTTTCTAACGTGTCGATACACACTTTTCGCGCTTCTCTCTCTCGTACAAATTGAACTCAAGCCGTCAGACAAATTTGATTTTCCCTGTATACACATATCAGCAATAACTAATTACAAATTAATTGGCGTCAGAAATGTGAAAAATCGCCAGATATCGCCAGTTTGCTGGATACTGGGCGCCATTAAAGTAGCCAATCGCCAAGCTATTCATTTGAAGCCGTCAAATCGGCACACCTGGCAACCCTGAATCCCGGCAAGCACACGTCACGAGATGCCGGTAATACATTTACCTCGGTTTTGCCTGGAGGGGATTACAGAGAGGATGACCTTGGTGTTGCCAGTTCGCTCATAAAGGCCGATTTCCACCAAACGGACAAAACCGCAACAAAACAGCAACTGTGTCGATTTCGACAAAACAGAAACTTTTGTTGCCGAAATAAGAAACATTTTGAAGACTTTGTGTCGCAAGTTTGTGTTTTCGTCAACAACGAAAAGTCCCATCGCCAGGCGGAAAGATCAAAAGGTTTCGGTATTTTGTCTCTGTTTTCGTAAACAGAGTTCGCTATGTGGAAACGGTCGGCGACAACAACAGTTCACTATTTTGTTTTGGTATGCGATATGCATGTTGTGACTTGTGTAAATTCATCATACATTTTTATTAAGTGTTTAATCTGTGGTAGGTATGTATTTCGACTATCGCCACTAGCCAGAGTATATTTATTAATTTGTTTTATTGTTGTTTATTTCGAAAAAGAATTAGATTTAATTTTCCTGTGTAGAAAATGAGCGAAAAAAGCAATGGACAGTTGAGGAATGCAGCAATTAAATCGAGCTCTACCGAGATCATCCAAACTTATGGAACACTTCGCATATAGATTACAAAAACCGAATAAAGAAGTATGATTCTCTGAAGGAAATAGCCCAAAGATTTGGAACGAAGTATGAAGAAATTGAACGAAAAATAAAAAAATTAGCCAGTATCAACGGGAAAGAAGAAACTACAAAAAATTAAAGAAGTCTGGAGCTAGGCACACTTTTAAGGCAAAATGGTTTGGTTATTCTGCAATGTGTTTTTTACACGACAAAAACAAACCTAGTAAAGGTTGGCAAGTCGGATTGGATTTTGAGGTAAGTTTTGATTATTGACATTTTTAAAAAATTAGAAAGAGACTATTAGAACCAACTGAAAAAAAACATATATTTTCGCAAAAACAAGAAATAGGGGAAAACATTATTTATGACAATTGGTTTTACAATACTAAGCATATTTTAATTGCCAGGAAACTTGGCCTATTTCTGATATGAAATATTCGCCAAACTCGTCCCTCACTTCTTTGGCATCATGCGGTGATTTTCTTGCTACATTTTTAAGGGGCAATAATGACTGAATTGATTCCCTATCGGTCCTCCACTGTCCTGGAATGATTGTTCCGGTATTACGGCGTCAATAATTATGCAGAAAAACGCATGCTAGGACCACCTTTTCTGCTTTTGAGGGTTCTAGTAGCATAGGTTTTCGAAGTACTCGAAAAACAGATGCTAATATCCCGAACAGGTTTTCGACTACTCTTCTGGCCCTGCTTAGACGATAGTTAAAAATTCGTTGTCTTGATCCTCGGTCTTGATGTCCTGCGTATGGTTTCATGATATTAGTTGTCAACGGAAATGCATCGTCTGCTACTAAAACGTACGGCATATTTTTCTCACGTCCCGGAAGCTGTTTCACTTCAGGCAAATTAAGTGCAGATTTATTTAACGCTTTGGCAAATCCAGTGCTTTCGAAAACTCCACCATCTGATATGCGGCCTTGGCAGCCGACATAAACATAAGTGAAATTGTAGTTCGCATCAACTATAGCAAATAAAACTATACTGAACGTTCCTTTATAGTTAAAGAACTCAGATCCACTAAATTTTGGCGATTGGATAACAATATGTTTGCCGTCCATACTTCCGATGCACATTGGAAAATTCCAAATATTTTGAAAATCTTTTGCCACTTTTACCCATTCTTCGGATGTCTTTGGAGCCTGAAACAAATATATATACATATATATATATATATATATATATATATAGGGTGACTTTGAAGTTGAGTCATTAATTTTCAGATAATGATTGTAGAAGGAAGATAAACCAAAATATGTGTGTAAAAATAAAAAAAATAAAAAAAAATTTTACCTTGTTTTATAAAGTATCCTCCCGACAAGTATTTCAGTGCGGACCTGTATTTGACCGTGAGGTCCCCTGTGAGGTCTTAAGTCACCTGATTCACGAGCCCGTTGTACTACATTAACAAAGGCACGAGGAGTTGGTTGCACTCGATTGGGAAACCGATCCGCATAAACATGTGCCATTTTTTATTTCGTTTGAGCCACGCAACAGATACCACTATTCACTGACACTGACTGTATACAAATGAATGAAATAATTGTAAAAACATCGTTCCAAATTCTTTCGCTTTTTTGTTTCCGATGCGATAAACCGATACGGCGGATTATATCCGTTGTCACCAAACACGAGCACATTGAGACAGGGCGGTACTCAAACTTCCAAAGGCTATAACTTTGTTACTTTAATTTTACCAGAAAAATGGTAAAGGAAAAATAACATTTCTTTTGATCAGATCTACTCACTGTTAAAATAAATGACTCAACTTCGAAGTCACCCTCTATACAGGGTTATCCAAATTAAGTGTCCACCATTAGTAACTTTGTTATTAGTGAAAATACAAAGTTGTTTGAATTAGCAAACGCTGGTAAAAATGAGAAATAAAAAAAAACAATTGAGAGTCGTTATTTTGATTTTTTTCAGTAAAATAACATTTTTTTAAATGGAAACCCCTGTATATTATATTTTTTTCTGTTAAAGCATCAAATTTTAAACAAAAAAGCTTACAATAACTTTTCTCCTAGGTTACAAATTGTTGAAGTTATGGCCTCCAATCTGAAACAATTAAATTGTATCGACAAACTTTATTTTCAACATCAACTTATAATCTTACAAAATACAATAACAATTTTTTTAAAGAAGATGCTCGAAAACACCACCTTGTTCTTCAATACATTTTTGGGCACGTTTTTCAACTGCTCGAACTGTCTTAAGTATGGTCCTACCATCTATCTGGGTTATCTTTTCCCTAACTGCAGTCTTTAACGCGTCAAGGTTATCGTACCTTCGCTTGTAAATTTGGTTCTTTAAGTAACCCCACAAGAAGTAATCAAGTGGGTTTAGATCTGGTGATCTGGGAGGCCACTGTATTGGGCCATTTGTTCCTATCCACTGATCATTAAAAGTAGTACTTAGAAAATGATAAATACCTCTGGAGTTGTGGGCAGGTGCGCCATCTTGCTGAAAATGCAGATGATGTCTACTTATAAGATCCAATTCGTCTAAGAAATTAGTCAGAATTTCTGACATAAATTCCACATATCTTTCACCAGTTAGGGTTCCCTCATAAAAGAACGGGCCAACAATTTTTGAACCAATTATACCGCACCAAACGTTGAAACTGAAATGGACTTGTGGGCCCCTTGGATGTACTAACAAAAGATTTTCTCTTGACCAATAATGGTGGTTTTTTCTATTAAACATTCCAGAATTTGAAAAATTTGATTCATCTGTCCATAAAAGGTAACGAAAGTTATTTACATTTTGGCGACAGAAGCTAAGATACCAATGGCAAAAAACAAGTCTTCTCTCTGGATCCTCTGCCAAAAGCGTTTGAACTGGTCGGTACTTATACGGAATAAATTTGTATTTTTTTAAAATCCTTTGAACAGTACCATAACTGAAATTAGAGTCCTTGAGAATATCTGCTATTGAATTCTCACGATAAGCTTCAAAATATCCAATAACTGCAATTTCCGTGGCCTCGCTTATTATGAATTCTTTTTTTGCCCTTGTTTTAGCAAAAACATTTCCGTTGCCCCTAAATTTTCGATAAAGTCTCAGAAAATATCGTTCATACGGTTGAATGCGAGCGGGATATAATTCACTGTAGTATTCTCTTGCTCTCAAGGAGGATTTTCTGCACACTAAATAGCATTCTAACATATCACACTTTTCTTCATGGGAGAACATTTTTCTTTAAATTAATGACACAATAAAGCTTATAAACAAGTATTTACACTAATGTTTGACATTATTTGATTTTATCATTGTTTTCCAAAGCCTTCTAGTTGCGAGTATGTCCAGTTTAACAATTTG